TGAAACTATATAAAAAACAATTATAGTAACTAAACTAAACAAATAGTTATGAAAATGGTAATTAAAGAGCAACGAAAAACTCTCAAATATCACTCGTTTGTTCTCACAACAAACGAGGTTAACTGCACACTATGTTTGTCCAATTCATAAATTTACAGTGTTATAACTTTAACATATAAATTATAATATCTATTTTAATTTGGTATATAATTTCCAACACCTTCCGAAGTTGGTTTTATTACTTCTGTATAGGAATAGTCAGAATGTCAAATTAGAATACGATAAAGGCGCCGTCAAGTTCTTCTTAGTCATCAAATTAATTACAAATGAGTCTGTGCAATACTTAGAGAGTCTTAATAGCCATAGTGGACAGAATTTTTAATGTTATTATAGTCTGACAACACTATAAGTATATTTGTTATAAAATAACAATTCGAAGTTAAAAGTTTAAAGGTAATAACGTCAGAAATAATGTTAATAGTTGTCTGGGGTTCTGTAGGGGTCTTGTTTATTGTTAACTGTACAAGTATAAACAGTGATAGTTATTATGGTACTTCTGTAATGTAATAAGATATTGAAGTGGATTTATGGTGTTGGACTTCTCCTTTTTAAGTATTTCTTTTGTACTTATAGCGAATTTGACAAACCTTACTTCTAGGAGTTACGATGACTTAAGTCTCGAACAAATTCATCTAAATTGGATGAAGCGATCTAATTCCAATTAACTCTTTCATTTGAATGTTTTTGGGTTTAATTGTTTGTAAATTATAATAAATGTATTTATTTTATTGAAATTGAACTTGCCACAAAACAAACTGCTCTTTTTAACAATATTTTAAAAAATTGTTTTAAAACAGTTTAAATAATTTGGAATTAACACTTTAAATAACATTGAACAAAAATCAAGTGGTCTAAAAATCGGGAAATCTCGAGTTTATTAAATAAATTTCCGTTTTTTTAGAGTTTATATTATGTGCATTCACAATACACAAGCCAATAAGGGAAAATCATCAAAAATTGGATTAATATCCCTGTAAGAACAGGCCAAAACGAAAACAAAGGATGTTATTTTAAGTGTTAGTTTTGGTTATATTTTGAATAATTAAATTTTAAAGTACATTTTTAAAAAAATAAAATAAACTTTACAATAGTTATCATCAGAAAAATGGTAATTGAAGTCAGAAGAAAGATCTGATGATGTTGAAGTGCTCGAAGATTGTGTATGTTTAGCGTTGGATTGCGACGAATACGAGGAAGTAGATGAGCCCAATGAACTCGAAGAAGAGCTGCTTGACATTTTTTGTTGAATTGGATTTTTAGAAGTCTTTTTGAAAGTAAAAATCGTTTTTTTTATAAATATAGACAAACATTGAATACAACTAAATATAATTTAATTCTTTTAATTGTCCAAACAAAAAAGAATAATTGTTGTTATCTTTATTTTCAATTATTGTATCATTATCAAGAGTGGTTAAAATGGTTTTTTGAGAATGTAATAAACAATAAATGGTGATCAACTAAAAAGGTTTCAACTATAAATTATTATACAATTATTTCAAATTGTCTTTTTCTTTTTTTAAAAAGTTGAATTTAATGAAAAATAATCATAACA